TGTGCCGAACCACTTCATCGACTTGTCAATAAAGTTTGCACAGCCTTTGGGCCAATCGGAGCAGTGTTCTTGTTGCCACACAACGCTGACTTTCGCCAGCTTTATTTAGTCAGGTTCATTCTCACGTCTTATTTGCACTAAGCGCACAGAACGAACGCTTAAAGGCGATTTCGTACATGTTTCCGTGTTTACATGCATCATACTCGAACTAGTGAACCGATCCCAATTAAATTTAGTTCCCCAGTACTGTCAGGGTGATTAAGTCGAGAAGAATGAGATGGATGGGGCAAGATGTGTGCACCGGGTACTGGTCGGGAAGCCTCGGGGAAGAGACCGCTGGGGAGACCTGGGAGGATAATCTCAGGTGGGATCTACGGGAGATATGAGTTGAAGGAAACTGGATTTTGTTGGCCCAGGACAGGGTCCGGTGGAGGGCTTTGGTTAATTCGGTGTTGAACATTCGGGTTCCGTAAGTCATCTAGTTAGTAAGTTATTGAGGTATACATGACTACTTTCAAGACTTAATTTTGATTATTTTCGGACATCAATAATCCTTGCCCTGAAAATGGACATTTTCTGTCTCTCCGAAACGTTAGCATCTACCGATGTGTCAACACGGCGCAAAAACCCAGCAGAACAGCATCCTCACCTCACTTTGCATGAAACGATCTTCTCAGGAAAGAGATCAGTAAAAATAAATTGTACAAAGAATAAAATATGCATCTCGTTGATGTCCTCAACGCTCGCTTGAAACAATTCCCAGTATAGAGAATATTTAAGGAAATACGAGGGAAAATAATTTATTTCTCTTGTTAGGTTTCGTAACAATGTTAATGGCTGTTCAAAAGCATCCAGAATCAGATTTTTCTTTTCCAATTTCACGTCCGCTTCTTTATATAATTTTCGGAGCAGTGATGAATGAAAATTGTGTAAGGTTCGTTACGTTCACCACTCCTCATTAGCTGCACCCTTTTTAAATCCAAATAGAGACAGAAAATCTTATCGAATTATTCCGTATTTGATCTAAACCTCGGGGAACGCCAAGTCCCCCCCCCCTTCCGTCGCATCACTGCGGGTAAGGTCTGAAACCCCTGTTCGTACTGTCGATCACAGAATTGCGATTCAGAATCAGACCCGTGCATTCGTGCTCCTCTGTCAACACAAAGAGAATCCATAACCCAGTTTCAGCTTCGTCTTCTGAAGGCATCGCGCAATTAGATAAATATACAAATGGCTGATCTGTGTATTTCGCCTTCCCCCAAACCTCTGTGTTACTGAAACAACGCGCGACACTGTTGCTCTCTTTTGCTTCATTTAGCCACCACGAATCGCAATTAAAACATGTCACAGGTTAGTAAACAAGATTCTACAGGCAGATTAGTAATTACTGACGTGCAAATAAACAGATTATTTATTCTGTTGCGGTAACACTCTAAAGTTGATGTCCAGTTCGACTCTCGGCCGGATTACTGACTATGATGGCTGACACTTCACGTGATTTCTCGTCATTCGCGTTGCTAAGTGGATGCGTTCAAAAAGGTTACGACAGCATCGTTCCAAATCCTTGTCACGGTCATATTCCCTAATGATTAGATACCTGCTCTTTCCTCTCTGTATATTTATTATTTAGTGTTCTGTCTGACGACAGGTCCATATGAACAGGATCCTTCCATCCTTTTCTCGGACTGGGACCTGTTCATATACATTCTTGGCAGATGATCCAGAAGTGGTTTGCCATTGCCTTCTTCTGTGTGTGAATGGAGTAATTGTTGGGATGCCACGGAGAAACCGGGGAAGCCCCCGGAGGAAAACTCCGTGTTGCCTAGACCGCGGCCTTGCCCAACACAAGTTATAAATTCGGGCACCGCCGGGAATCGAACCCGAGACCCCAGGATTACATGTCCAGCGCTAGACCACCGTGGCTATCTCTGTATATATTAGGTTCCTATATACACAATTTATTAACTCTATCTTTCTCTAAATGCAATAAGAAAATGTTGAATGTAATCTCAGCTCTCGTAATTCTTTCGCGATTCCTGCACCTTTTGACTTTACTCTTTTTCTTGGCATGGTAGAGTTAAGATCTAGCCTACCAAATAATATAATCTTACTTGCTCTGTGTGGGTATAAAACCTGGTGTATCGGTCTAAAGGAAGGTCATTAACCGAGGGCGTCAGTGGATAAGGAGCTGAGGAGAAATCTGAACGTAAGAAGTAAAAACAGAGAAATGGGTACATTTGCATAATGTACTTCATAATTTGTACGCTTCGCCGTATACTATTTGAGCAATGGAATGAAGGATTGGATGCAAGGAACATGTAGCACACGTGAGAGATGTAAAGTGGCACACAAATTCCTAAGCAGAAAATCTGAAGGGAAGAGAACTGGAAATGGAATGGGAAAATTAAAATATATTTCAAAGAAATATGGTGCAAATGTGTGATAGGTACTGACCATCCTCACATATCAGCAATACAGACGTTTCGACTCTTGCTATTATCATGACTGTCTTCTGAGCTGTTTACCGACGTTGCTACCTCCATTATCGCCCCGACGGCCGAGGTATCAAGCAGCTCTGAAACGTCGGTAAACTTCTACCAGGCAGTACGGCGCAACAGTCCATAAGACAGCCATCGTCAGATTTACCGCCGTTAAAACCTCAAACGTCTGTTGAAAACTTCGTACATCATGGATCACTGGCATGGGAATGAAATGTGATGGATATTTTTTTAGTCAAAAATCTGGTCATTCCACAACGTTTTGGGGTTATAAAATGAGTAGTAGTCTTACCTTTGCCTGGAAAGTGATGCCGTGTTGGAAAGCTTCCTCGGAGTGCAACGGTATCCGTGTATCGTAATCATCGTTCTGAACCAAGTTGTACTGCTTCTTGGAAGGCATGTTAACCAAGATGGCACAAAAGCGCGCGCAAACACTACAATGAAATTGGAATAACACGGGTTCACTTCAGCCAGCGCCGCGCGATTCACTTCCAATTCCAGATCGTATGACAATTATTATGGGAAGACGCACATGGTTGTGTATTCACTCAGCAACTACGTCCACGATTCTGATGACACTAAAACAAAAACTAGTTGGTTACATAAATCTAGGTTCGAGAAACACGACCTGAAATACCTGTATCAAGTTCACACAACTAATGGGAGAACGGCTTTGGATTGTTTTCATAACATTCGGTCCACTGCGGTGTAGGCAACGCTGTTGCAACATTGCCGGCCGGCTTATGTCCCTCCTCGTCTTGTCATTGGAAGTCCTCACAGAAATAGCACAGCCAAAGAACTGTCTTACTTCTTTTCGCCGCCCTGCACTAGCATCCAGTTTAAAAAGGACGACGAACTATATCTAACGCACAAATTAACGTAGGGCAGTCGATAGAAGAACAACGTGCATAAATAATAATATTAAACAAGGAACTTGTTTTCACTTTGGCTCGGACTGAATATTTGAGAACATTACTCGTCGTTTATATGAATGAAAATGTGTCTGATATGTGTTAATTTCATAACTTCAGTCTTCACGCACATATTTGGCACATCATACTCATGGAACGTAATATTTTGCGCAATAATTTATTTTATAAATGCAGGTTTATTAATATCAAGCACACAACAAAGTACCTCCACAACACAAAACACGCAGCCACCACTTGCGCGGTAAGTTCCGTTTACCCTCGTGCACTGAAAGAATGCTGTAAATCTCGTTACACACCTTGAATGAGACCGCCTAGCAGCCAGCTTGGTTTGCCGGCGGCTGTTCATAGGAACATAGTCATGCCATGGAAATCTGAAATAGGGGTGGGGGCAACTAACACTCGCGACATCTACCCGTACCGAAGTAGAGTTACTTGAACAAATTGTACCGAAAGATGTCACTAGTCGCCAAGAACCTCTCTCGCTTGAACCAAACAGGAAGCAGTTGTGTGTTCGATTATGAGCATAGGTGATTAAAATATGAGTATTTGACGTTTGATTATGCTATGGCAGTTAATGATAATGTAATAGGAAAGTAAAATCTACATTTAATCGTTGTAAGTTTCTGGTCTGCTTAGGCACGATTCGTGCATTGCTTTTATACAACATTGAAGTCTAGCAAGAAATGCTTTGCTTGTGGGTGAAAATCAGATGATCGAACAGGAGTGAAATTCGCCCACTTTCCTTGGATATCCGGCACATTATGTCTTGTGTATAACATTTTTTATTCATTATGCAATGGCTTCACTATTAGTATTGCTTAATAGTGTCATTGTTTTCTACGATAATTTCTATTATAATGATCGTAATAAGTCTCTTCTAGTTTCAAGACGCGAGACATCCTATGATAGGGTAGCGCTGTCAAATGTTTACAAATGCCAGACATTTTTTCGTGTAGAACTCGCAAGCCTACTTTCCTATTACAGACTGCAAGTCCTACAAATGTATTGCTGCTATCACATTTAGGTATTGAAAATTTATGTTTTCAGTTTAGCTTTTGTCGACATTAAATTTCTTGGACATAACTCCAAAATTCCACACCATTGCCAAGTTGGTGATTGTAATAAACATAAACTACTAAGGAACTATGCTTTATCAAACCATAAATTATATTTAATAGATTTTTGATTTATTATTTGAACATCCTTTTCCTTCTCTCACCCTTTTTTTCCTTAAACCAAGCCAAGTGTACCAATAACTGGATGCCAAAGTGCTTAAGAAAGAATGTCCTTTTTATTGTTCTTTATTTCACTGTGGTATTAACTGCTACGATTAGAATGCTCATTGGATGATGAGCTGGATAGGATACAGAAGCAAGCACCAAACAAAAGTTACAGTGGAACCACGGTTCCGGAGAATTTGACGTAAATACGTCTATACGTTAAGGAGTTTATATAGTGGCTTTATTCTAAATATTTTCTTTATACATGCTTTACAATTGATTAAAGTTTGAGTAAGACAGTACTGCCTACCTTGAATTAGTTACGCTTAAGATGGGTCTGTGGTAGCTGAAATATGTTATAAAATTTGTACATTTGAGAGTATCAACATATCGTGCAAACACCATATCTATACAAGATTTTGATCTAGTTCAACATTAGTTTTTGGAACTTTAGATTCATTATTTGATAATAATTGCTTCTTGCGATTTCTATATTCCCTTTTACGTTCAGCATTAGTTTTTGGTATTTCTTTTGGAACCTTAATTTCATTATTTGATAATTGCTTCTTGCAATTTCTATATTCCCTTATATGTTCAGCATTAGTTTTTGGTATTTCTTTGTAAACTTTAGGTTCAATACAATAACGAAAGCGGAATGTTGGCGGCAATAAAGTGATACAACAATGTGGAATAAACAGATGATGTAACAATTAGAGTAAACAGATCTTACACATTTTTCTGTCGCTTTTTCATAACGCTTTTTTTGCGGAATGACACTGACCCTTCCATATAGACGTATTTACGTCAAATTTTTTTTTTTGCTAGTCTCAATGTTTACAAATTTTAGTCAACATAACCAATTTACTGACAAATATTTATATGTGGGACCTCCAAAACTATGAAGCAGATGTGGCAGCCACACTGACATGCTCAATACTATAGTCAATAGACTGTGAGGATTGTAGGCTGGTGGAACTTTTATATTTTGCAGTCCTAAACCTTAAATGTCTGCTGCAAGTTACTCGGGCAAGTAAAGGCAAAGCAGTAAAGGTCTACATTACATGGAGTTGTGTAATCAGCTTCATGAACTTTAATCCCAAGAGAAGACGTTTTGAGTACAAATTAGAACACCATGTAGTTTACAGAGTTGTTCTGGATAATACATAAACAACTAAGTAGGCTTATGTAAAGTATGTTTTATCCAACAAATAATTACAACAAAAATGATCACATGCTGTAATACTGTTACTTTTTGCCTACTTTCCTTCCTTAAGAATAAAGTATGCTTCTAATAGCACCATGCTGTTTCAGTTTCCATAAAAAAATTGGAAATTGTGTTTGTTACATAAGTTTTCAATTTTTTTTTATATTTCCACTTATTTTATTGAATTTTCTTGAAATTTCTTAACAGCAATCTAAAATAAAATCTGAAACATAAATTTTTAAATACTTTCTGCAATTGTTGATCCAGGTTGGCGACTTGAAACCATCTTGGTGGTGACAGGTTTGAAATGCCAGTGAATTTATATGAGATTACACAACGCAACATCCCAGAAGATGGTTTTTACTCGTCACATGAAACTGAAATCACACTCAAATGTAGGTCCTAATTCAGGGACCATTGGCACCAACTGCCAATTCAACTAGCGAAACCAAGTAACACTTGTGGCTAAAGTCCACTCAGTTGGTCTACGTTCTACCAAATGCAAATATCTGGTAGGTCCACCTGGTTTGAGAATAACCAAAGGGCATACATTATGAATAACGGTTTTGGTAGGGGAAAAATGTGAATTACCTGCTAATGTTGTGTTCAGGTAAGAAAGGTTTGCAGCATTTATCAAAATGCTTTCAAGACAATAACATATCTTGAAAGATATCACCTGAATCATTACAGCATTAGCTAACCTGTTCAGGTGGATGGACATGTCAGAGATACATCCCGCAAAAAAATGAAACAGAAAACCCATGTTCCATATCTACTTGTAGCAAACACATACAACATTAAAGGATCGACTGTTTCTGTTTACAGCTTAAATGAGCATCACCTATCGCCATACACTCCAGCAACTTCCTAGAAAGAATTTGCAAAGGCTCCCCATTGCCAAGAACTCCGATACTGATAGCGATGTCTCTTAAAAAAGACGATGTTTCGACAGAACCAGCGGCATCTTCCTTTTCTTGAACATAGTCACTGAATATTTCTGGCAATAATTCTACTAGAACATTTAACATAAGGATTGAACACGTATCTTTTATACTTGGTGGCAGTTGCCCAAGAATATGCAGTATCTTAATTAATATCTTCGCTTGTTCTTCTGTTGGCAAACTCTTCAACTGTGTGTTTATTTCTTCCTGTAAAATAAAACAAATATTTGAAGATAACATCCAAAAAAGTTTATCTATTTATAAAATCCACTCAATGTAAGTTTGCCAGGGAGTCTCCTATCCTGTGTAAGTTTTCTTAAAATGTTTACATGTAATAATAGTGACAGTCGGTGTGAAAAAGGAATTATGATTTGTATAAGCAAAAATTAAAGGAGAAAAGCTTCAGGGAAAGCCTTGTATTAATTATTCAGGTGCTAGAAAAACTGGAAGTAGCTCTTTTTTTTCCATCTAAACATTTCCAAAATTTCATAGCTTTAACAGCAAAGATCTTCAGGATGTTTATCCTCGAGGGTTACTTGAATTTCTAGGAAAGAAGATTAATTGAAATCAAGAAGTCACCATGTTCAATATTTGAATGGCAACAGGGAATGGAATTTTTTTATTTCCCTAAAGAAAGCAGGAGTAAACATTAATTGCAGGTCTTCAGCCAAGTCTACATAAATTGGAGAGAAAATTTCAGAACATATAGAATATTTTGAAGTTCAAGAATCTCATTATTCAAACAGAGTGATTAAGTGCCTAAATGCTGAATTACATATGAAGACGATGCATTCATTGTTCAATGAAAAGTACTCTTAGATGTGTCACACCTCAATCAGATTTAGCAATAAATGTGAACTGGAAACAAACCTAAAACAAATGTCCATAGATGACATTGCCAAGACAACATGAGTTGGGGAACTTGTTGTACGTACTTGCAGATATCAAATGTTTCAAATTTTAAAAATGGGTTGTGAAAGAGTTGATGTAATAGGAATTTCTATTGACATCACACGGAATCTTCCTTTACCCAACACTCCAGATCAAGAAGTGTTCAACTTCAGACAGTTTTGGGTTTATCTTTTCAAAATTTACAACTTCAAAACTCAGAAATGACATTTCCCCTTATACCATGCAGGTACTGGTAGGAGAGGCCCTAACAAAGTCTGCTTTTTGTTGAAAACAAGATCGTCAACTGTAAAAAAACTAAAAATGTAAATGATTCTAAAATTTATAAAGCACAATGAAATGTGATAATGAAATATGTATTTGAAAATAAAAAATGTAAATGTTAATTTGGAAAAACCTATTTTCCATTATGCATTTGTTTACTGTAATACACATTAGTTTTTGGTACAATTTTTAATAATTTCAATATAATATATAACTCCTTTAATTAGAAAACAGTTCAAGTCACAAATTAAAAAAATATCATGTCAACGGAAATATACTATAAAGAATCACATAACAACCATAAGTTGACAAAAAATTCAAATGAAAAAAAAATCATAAGTCATATTCTTACAGGGCAAGAACAAATCAGTTTCTCTTTTAGCTTCTGAAAAGTTCAGCATTTGTGACTTGTTTCCTTTTCAAAATAAGTGATTTCAAATATGGAGGATTTTATTATAGACAACTTCATAAGACAGAACTGGCTTCTTTGTTCCTGCAGTATTTTAAAGGTGATCCTCAGTATCTGGTACAAACCTTCAACACCAAACCCAAGTTCCTGATAGAGTAATCCAAACATGAGAGGGCACACTCATTTTCCTGAATGCCTTCCCTTTTAATCACAAAGAGAAACAGCAAAACTGAATCAGCAAATAAATGCATCTGTGGCCCAGGGCTCTCCACTTTGCTTGTGCAAATATTAATTTCCTTCATTCTCTTGGCTAAGATCTTCCATTCCGTAGGAGTACATAAGGGCAACAGCTGGAAAGAAGAAAAATGATAAAATCACTTATCCACAGACAAAAATATATATAAATGTACAACACAAGCCTAAAATAGATTACTTCAAGTTTTCGCAGTGTTTCAAAGTTAATATTGATCCCATTTCTGCACTGTGCAGACACTTTTAATATTCAGGATGAGGTAAATACAAAATGGTTCTGGTAGAAACTTACCAATGTTTCGGAGGTCCTTGCTGCCTAAATAAGCAGGAACTCACCACCCTGATGATAGAGGCAGCTAGGACACCTAAAACGTTGGTAAACTTCTACCAGACTACAGGATACACTAACACAGAAGACGGACACCTTCATACTCACTGCGTAAAAAACCTCAAATCCTACTTCGATTCTACTAGCGGCAGATACTTAAGCATACAATCAGCAACAAACCAGGCTCAAAACCCTTTCATGACAAAACTGTTTATTGACAAAGTATGAATTACAGCCTATGAATTAGCTAGCAGTATACAGGCATATGAAGAAATACTTGCAGTTAACAAAGAATGGAACACCCTCCATTGCCAAGGATCTGTGCTGGATCTCAGTTTTCAATCCAGAAGGAAAAACCCCAATTTGGTCTGAAATTAAATGGAGGCAATGTGGAGTGTGCGACTACTGGGCAGAATGGTCCCTGTACAGCTCAAGAAAACAGCAGAAGACCAGGGCACACACTAACGGGAAAATAAGAAAGCTTTGGATCAGGTTGACAGAAAGGAACATAGGCAAGGTGCAGGGTGACGAGAAAGGAAATGCCACAGATTGCAGGACATTACCTCATATTTAAGGCTGAAATGGATTTGTGCATGACAAGTGGCCAAATATATATGTGAAAAAATACGTAAACAATAAACATACCTTTGAAAATGAGAAGTGGAACAGGTTTTCCTTATTTTCTGAACCTCGAAATAACTCCACTACCTTTTTACCAGTCTCATCACTGAACTCATCATTCTGTATCACATCAAGCAGAAAAGTATTTATGTTGTAAGGTGCTGGTGCCCAATCTCTTCCAAATTTAGACCACAGTTGGCTGAAGTAACTCTTATTAAGTGGAGATAAAAATCCGTCAAGTTTCATTTGCAGCCATTTCACCTCCTTATCTGTAATAACAAACTCAGCTCAGTTCAATTTTTATCCCTTAACTGGTTTGGTGCACACACACTCAAATTGTTCTTATGTTTTGATAAAAATAATCTATTGCAAATCTATGAATTCATTTACATTTATATAATATTCTTATAAGGCTAGAAAATAAGCAGAACTGTTATTCAACAAACTGTTGATTCTTATTCATAAATTATTTGGGGTAAATAATAAATGTAGTAATATAAGTTATAAAATCAATAATCTCTGCCAGCTGTCAACTCAAAATCATTTTCATTACCACTAACACTTTCTTCTGATTCCGAATTATGTTAACCTTATAAATTAAGGTCTAGGTACTCATCAGTACTCATCCAAGTCATGCAGAAGGTATTCATTTTTTTTTTCCAAAATCAGTGTCATCCACTCATAGTCAAACAATAAAAGTTACTTTTAATTAAGTTTGCAATTAACATAAAATAATAATACTAATTCAGGTCATTAAAACAGTAATATTTGAATATAAATCAAGAACTAAATAACATAACTGGTACAGTGTGGTCTATCACAGTGGTATTCAACCTGGGGTACGCGAAGACATCTTAGGGGGTACGTGAAATTTAAGAAAAATATATATTATTTTATAATAAACACTAAATAATCAGTAATGTAATTTATTTAATTTATTTTAGATGTAGATTATGTACTATGTATAACTTGACTTACACACCAACAACTTTGGGGGTACAAAGTTGAAGAGAAATTATATCTGGGGGTACGCAAACAAAAAATGGTTGAATACCACTGGTCTATGAGATTGCTGAAAGGTTTCTTCTCAGAATAAATCACAAATGACACTTATGTGAGGTCACATTACTAAGTACCTCAACTCATAGACCAAAATGATAAAAATTTGATAAATGGGAGAGGGAGGCAACTGGTGGGAAAATACAAGACAGACTGCACCATACCAATTAAGGGTTAAGAAACTATGCAGGCATTCTGTAACAGCAAAATCATTTCAGTATTGTCATTTAATAACCTTTTAAATTGCCACACTGTGTGCAAAATATTATAGTCAAGATATTCTGGGTGACATAAAAGGCAAACCTGTAATGGGTGTATCTGCATTTAACTTCTATAATAGTACCATCTTACACAATAGACATGTTTGCTATAATATTATTTTTTGAAGCAAAATACATGTGTGTTTTTGCACACAAAGTTTTGGCAGATGATAATTGGTGGTGGTGGGGGGTTGCTAGATTTCCTTTTAAATTATACAGAAAATTTCTCTTCGGAGACTCTCTTGGGTGCAATATGAAGGTGCTGGTATATAGAGGGGCATTGCATCAGAGTTGGACCGCAATTTATTCATTCATATTAACACTACGTTTATTGAATCACCATATTATCAATTATTTCCCTTTATTAAACCTCATAAGCTTATTCCAATAAAGTAATTACTTTTATACCATCACTAGAAGACTGCCTAGTGTTACTGCAGGGAAATTCTCAACAAATGCTTCCTGCTTCATATTCAGGAGGCCCTGGGTTCAATTCTTGGCCTGCAGACCAGCTATCCTGACTAAGGCTTTTTGTGGCTTTTCTGTCCCTCAAGGCAAATAAATGCTGGGATAGTACCTCAAATTAGGCCATGGCCGCTTCCTTCCACATCCTTTCCAATTCATTACTAACTATAATCCTTCAATTTGACGCTATATATTCTGAGTTACTGAAAGAGCATAGCGAAATAAAATGAAAATAAATATCAACAAATACTTACATTTGTTACCAACCCTTAATGCCTGAAAGCTTACCACAGGCCTAATAATTTGATATGTACACTGAGTATCATAGAAAAAATTATCTCTAAACCCGACATCTTCACTGAGACCCAAACCTAAGACAGTTTGTGACCTCAGTTCTTACAATCTTCTTACTGAAACAATTTTCTGAGCTACAGGAACCATCTTTGCCAGAACCCAAAACAGATTTTTGGGGTTGTGGCTGTTGTTCCTGTAATCTCCTTGTCTAAACAAACACCTTCAGTCCTCGCAATGTTCTTTCATATAGTGTCAACACTAAAACCACCCTTGCCAGATTTCGAACCCAGAACACCTTGTCAGAGTTTTGACCTTTCTTATATCTTTCGGCCATGGCCGCTTCAAGCATGCCAGGTTTGGTGCAAATCAGGAAAGCTCTTCTTCTGCCATAACCAAGAAAAAACACACAATTTTTTATTTGATATAAAGACAGCATGTCAAAAAATGGGGAAATATGAATAAATGAAAACAACCAGAACCAGTAACTACAAACTAATGTAGTATGTTACCTTCCACGGTTTTTGTGCTTAGAAACATCTTCATCACCGTCCTTACTACGAGAAGGGCTTCTTCACACACTGACACAGCACCAGGAGAGAACGTTATTAAGTTCCATCTACTGACTTCAAGAACTTGGGCTAACATCACCAGCAGAGGACACTCTGGTACGTCTGTGTGATTCTTTATTCTCCCATCTGTAAATGACTGTAAAACATCAATTACCATTTAATTGTCTTTATTTGTGAAAAGGTGTTCTCCACTTTGGAATATACAGTCATGCTCAAATATTTGTCAATTCACTATTGAATTTGACATAAATTTATTTAAGTAGCTTGAATTCAGAGTTACAAGAACATTTCTAATTTCAGGTGTCACTCCTCCATCTAAACACATTCTGAATTTCCTAAATTATCCAAATATGCTTGGCTACTAATCCGAAGCCTCAAGGATCCAAGAAATTGGCTCCTAACATTCATAAGCCATATTTACTTGGGACATGTTCTCAAAATTCTACAATTCATATAAAAAAATTGCTAAGCATTAAATGTAAGGAATTTAAACCTCATATAGAATCTCCTAAACTGGGGCCACAGAAAGAATTCCCATTGGCAGCAGAGATGAAAGTGCTCAAGGCTTCTGCCTACTGTAGTATTTGTTGCCATCAACAGATGGCTGTTACAAAATACAGAATATGTTGGAGGGGAAGGTACAACAGAACTCTGGAACTTCTTTCCACAGTCTCTGAACAGCATTTTTACTTACGCGTAAAACTTCCAGCCACAGCAGCAACAGTGACCATGTCTTTACACAAAGACTATTGTACAATGCCGGCAGCAAGCTCCTTCTAATAAACGCTGAGCCATTAACAATATTATGGTTTATCAGAGCAATGACCTGAAACAATGAATATGACAAACACCAAACAACAGATTATTCTGGGGCCTAGAGGCAATGTCACTAATAACTAACTGAAGATTTACCGCCTAAGTATGAAATTCACAACAACTAATAATAATAAAATATTCTCAGGCTGTAAGGCATGTCAGTTGCTTAAAAATCACCAATATTTCAGGGGCTATCTCAGGCCCTCATCAAAAGGGCTGTGATGTTTTCTTTTCATTCATAGTCATAATGATAGATCCATGGAATTTTGGTGATTTTTAACCAACTGACAAGCCTTACAGCCTGAATTTTTTTCTATTAATTTACTGACAAGTTCAAGATGAGAGGGTTACACAGGACTAAAATTCAAGCATATCCTACTTTCAATTTCATTACAAAATCATAATTTAATGAAAGACTTCCTGCTACATCAAGTTTTAACCATGATGAACCAGTGACAGAATCTCAACTGTAACAACCAACTTATCTAAGCTACCCAATAAAAAATAATCAAAAGCTCACATTATGATGATCCAACATCACCTATGGCAACTAACTAGAGAGGCCAGAGCAAGTAAAACGTAACTTAAAAATCGAGAAATCAAAATATGTCTGTAATTACTGACTGACAAACTGATTAATCAAGGCACTGGTGTAAAAACTTACAAAGTTGACAAAATTTGATTTCTCCTGATCATTCAAATCATTCTTCATAGCTTCATTTAACAAACATGTCACAATAATCATTTTTTCATTTCCAGATGCTGCCCCCATGTCAGCTGCTTCAAAGGCACCGTATATGGGGTTCAAGCACTCCAAAACTTCAACCATCAGCACGATCTGCTTGGAGTTCTTCAATCCCTCTTGCAGCACCCTGGTGATCACTTCAACTGGGGATTCCACGCAGAGACCCACAAAGTCCGAGAGGAACTGAAATACAAGGAATCACATCAGTTTTTCTGGAATAGTTCAGTCTGCTTCCAAAAGATCTACATCCAAAGAGGTTGAAATATTCAAAAGCCATTCACATTTCTGATCCTTGACTTGTTCTGGTTGCTCCTACACTGAGCATTTTTAAAGAAAAATTAATACCATTTGTTTCATTTCCATGATAACTCAGACTTGTCATAATTTTGTTGAAAAGCCATGCACAATTTGGCTCATATCATAATTTTTAACAAAGTTAAAAGTTGTATAATATGATTCTTCATGTACACTTATGTGAAGACTATAATGCATATGACTTTCAACAACATCTCTAATGTCAGTTAAATGTATTTTAATATAACAGATGTAGAGGAAAAACATTTTCCCATGTGGACAAAGTAGAAACGTGGAGGTAGTAGCACAGCATGATGGAATATAAGGGTGCTCGGTTCCAGACACATAAATATTGTTTAATGAGAAGAAATGTATGTACAGCAGGACAGTATGGCCTTACAGGTAGGGCCATATTATCCGATAGGCACAGTGCCTAGGGCCTACAAAAACTAAAGGGCCAACAACAAAATGTTTCACCATGCTTTTTTTTATTTGTATCAAAACATTTGTAAGAAACATATCATAATGCCACACATACCATTTGGCCATCTGAAAGAAATTATTCGAGAGAATTTTGTTCACCAATCTACCCACAGAATTTGATATACCCATAAAAGTACAACAAAACGGAAGTGCCTATGGTCTACAAGGACCTTAATACAGCCCTGCTTATAGCCCACAGTGACAAGTACAGAAAGTATATTCCTTTCCACAATACACATAATATCCTCATGTATTCTTCGCAACATGCATTTAGAGATATTAAACCCATCTTGTTCAATAGTTCCCACTTTGGCCACCAGACTGCAGCACCTCATGTCTACCTCATTGGTCATTTTGTTATCACTGCTCATAGGATATTCAGAGGTGATTTTGAGGTCATGCAGAAAAGCAAAAATCCACATCAAATTTCATCCAGATTATGTCTAGTGGTACTCAAACTGAATCGACCGGACAGATACAACCAACCCATAATGCGTTCTCGCTATGTACTTTGTGCAAAGAATGCATAATAACCTAATTGGCAAAGTGGATGCAAATATTAGCAACCTCCACACCACTGAGAGCAAAACTAGTGATGTGACAACATTTAGTTGCAAAAGAGCAAGCAGCCGTGTTTATGAGATGAATCTAAGAGTCATGATGGAACAAGTTTCTCAAAAGAATAAGATCTGGCTCTCAGGAAAGGCACGAGGGACTAGGGCTCATGCCCAGACATCAACATAACCTTCAAATAACTTGGCCAGTTTTAACGCTACCCAAATTGACCCCCGTTTTGACTGACCTTGTCCCGGATGACCCGAGAACAGCCTCTACTTTCCCTAGCATGACTTGAAATTTGCCTGCCTATCCTCACTCCACTGAAAATTGTGGTTCTGTGGTTAGCATTCCTTTTCATTTAAGTGGCAGGTTCTATGTCTGAATCTGGGTTCAGTGACTGGCTATCCTGACTGATGGTTTTTATGGTTTGCCTCACTCCCTTTGGACAGATGCTGAGCATCCTGAAACAGACTTATTTCCAACATCCTTAACAAATAACCTTCCCATTCAATGCTATACTATGGCCTACACAGTTGACAAAGTGTTGTTAAATAAACCAAGAATCAATATTCCTCATCGTATCCCCAGTGGCCTAACCATAGGCAAATACAATGATAACCACAACATTGTAATGACGTCTGGTACCAAGACAACAGTAAAATTTAATTCAAAACTGACTGAAGTCAGATAAAACATTTTATTCACCTTGTTTTCATTTCCAGTCCTCTTCACAGCCTTGTTAAAGACTTCTGTGGCCACCACATGGAAACTATCTGTCAAGAAGTCGACACTGGTCCCAAACTTCTTAAAAAACCACTGGACAATTTCAACCTGCTCTTGTAGTGCAAGCTGCTTCAAAGAATCCAATCCTATACGCTTTATTTTATCACGCCATTCACGATCACCATGTTTTGACTCAATTGTAGCAATTGTCTTTTCAAGAATTGCTTTAACATCTTCGTATTCTGCTAAATACAAATTATTTTTTAGACAATCTGCACAATTATCAGAAATAACCTCATTTAATGCAAGTAAAGCTTTAAACCACTTTTTCTGTGATTTGGATTTGTCTGAAACATTTTTAATAATTAATTCAATATCTGCTTCTCTTATTTCATCATCTTCTTCTCTTGGCTTCACAGCCATACTTGACAGCATGGTGATCAACTCTCCTGCCAACGGGAATTTGACTTTATCACTTCGGACTTTCTTCAGCAGTTCAGAACAAGAATACATCATTTCACTTATTTCATTTTGCAAAGTTCTAGCTTCATCAACATTACATTCCGCCCAGAACAGCCATATATCTACTGTAATTGCACAGAAATTTACTTTACAAGTGTAGAGAAGTTCATTAATAAAATTATTTGAAGTTATCACCTCAATTTCCTTTTCAACACCACCACATAATTCAGGCAAAGAAATATCATAAACTTCAGGTACATCCACCTCATGCTCTTGCAGATTTAAGTACAATTTCAAGTAATCTGTCATCAATGATAAGATGCTTTTCATTGCAAAACCAGCAAAGCGATACATATCCTGTGTACTAATACAACCCAGTTCCTTTAAATCAGGTTTGACAAAATACTGCATTAAATTTTTAAAATATGTAAATAATTTCCACTTCGCATATTTCATATCTGCTACTTGAAGATGTTCCAGTTGTATATATTTACAATAAACTGCTTTAGAAAGTTCTTCAACTCTTGGTAAAGCTTGTACGGGTTCCACCGAACTTAAATTATCAAAAAATATATCTAGCAACTCAGCACCAAGTGACAGTGGACAATAAATAATGCTTTCACATGCATATTTATGCAAGGATAAACCCCATACTAATTTCACCAACAGTTCTTTGCTTAAGTTAGGCACACAATCAATGATATGACCACAATTTATATCTTCAACGAGTTTTTCCTTAACACTTAGATTAGCGTTCAGCACGAGGAACATATGAATCTTCCTTAAACGTTGATCTTGCTTAGCATCCAATCTGGCTCCTGCCTGTATGCCTCTACCAATGATAACCTTACAAAGGGCATTAACAACAGCGCTGATTTTTGAGTCATCACCTAGGAAAAACATTTCAGCATATTAAAAATCGTTATTTTAAACAATGCAGAATTGACATAACTAAATTCTGTAAAATAAGCACAGGTAAAAAAGCACATCAAAACATCACTAAAATAATGTCTTCAGCAATATATCATTCATCATATGTAAGAATATGTACGATTTTAATTGAAGAGCTTTTGCTGAAAACATTTCATGTTTTAAACACATTCTTTAAGGGTAATTATCTCAGATAACATGTTGAACTTAAACTGCAGGTGCATGCATCCTCCAAATGCGTCCCCATCCTGTTCACTTATGCCATCGACACAGGCCAAACTGTTTGTGGCTTATCAGTCACATTAATGACCCACAAACAGCTTATTAAACACATCTATCTCCAAAAGTTGAGACCGGTAGGGTTAGGTTTCTCAGACTGACCAAATCAGACGTTCTAAATTTCAGTATTGCATGTTACTTTAGAACAAGCAAGTCCAATAAAATATTAATTTAATGGAATATTACCACTCTTAGACGACAAGAATTGGAGGTCTCCAATCGCCTTCTGCACACTAAAAAGTGAACCCTGAATTAAAGCAAAATCCTCACTGAATTCCATACTTTTTATTCAGTTGTATTAAATTTCAGATCATAAATTATTAAATAAATTTAAAAAATTGTAATACTATATATTCTTGCTAATGTAATAAGAGTATCCAAACATAACGTCATTCACATTTCGAACCACATGCAGCAAAGTATATTGATCGCTACACATATTGGCAGATGGTAATTACTGTTGTCTACGAAGCACGTCAATGTTGTGCTGCCATCTATCATAAAAATACTTTAAAAACGATCTGGTGGACAGTCGGTAACACCGTTAACTCCACTTCCACCTTTAGTAATACCTAAATAAAATTACTTTTGAACAAGTGAAGATGACTATCTTTTGTTGATATTGCACCATGCTATTTGGTCGAAACTGATGGTTGTGTCCAGTGGTGGGCGGTGTTGAAATAATGTTCCAATAATAGTATGAAATACAAAGCGTTAGTAAATTTTAATCGACTTATTGCGTCCAAAGCGCGAGTAATGCAAAACCTGAAGCGTTAGTATATGGCAACATATGTTCCCTTATGTGGCATTTTGTATACAGATTATAACCTGAACATCAATGATAAGATTTGAATTACGACATCAGCCAGCGATAAGTTCCATGTGTGAAATTACAACATGGCCTTGGGTAATCAGTATGATGGGTTCATAATTTAAATATTTCGAAATTTTGAATAGCTTAGTTCCAAACGTTGGAAACTAATGGCGCTGTTTACAAACTGGTTCATAGACAGAATGCAAGAATTTTTTATATGTTGTCTTGAAGCATTAATTCACCACGTGAAATAGCCGTTGTAAAAATTACCATAAGTTGCAGCGTGTAACAGGTTAATTTTAAGTCAGAATGATTTGGTTAAAAATGTGGAGAGAAAAGTGACATATAATTCTTTTAAATGATCCTTCAGAGCGTTATATTAACATAAAGCCACTCCTTCATAGAAGGTGACCCATAACCATAGATATTCTCGCTGATTACGCTGTTAGGTTCCTTAGTAGTACTGCTAGCCCCTGCAGTTAGCTGTTGTAGCCGAGTTACAGCGTTAATATATAGCAATTTAGACAATGAATATAGTAACATGTATTGCTCCTGTCAATATTGCCGTAATCAAGTACTGTAAGTAAAAGTGTAAAGGGCTTTCATATTTCATAACAGTAATATAAGACATTGGTTGGCGTACTGGCTTTGGTAGGACTAAAAGCAGTGGAACAGATATTTGTGAGTAGTCTTTGGAACTCAAAATACGAAAACGTGCGGTATTAATGACTTACTCCTTTCCCTCCAAACAGTAATCAGTGACTTCGGAACTTTAAATACGGATGGCAAATTTCTTCCCCTCTAATCAGTAATAGCTGGAACAGATACTTGTGAACAGTCTTTGGAACTTAAAATACGAAAAAGTTATATATTGATGGCCCACTTCTTCACCCCTCTAAACAGCAAACCTGTAGTAGACATTTACCAGACCTAACAAATTGAGTTTGAACCTCTAATTAATTTGTTTGCATGGGCTGATAAACTTAACCAAACACTATCGAAATATGTGATAGAGGACTCTTAATTTGACAATACCTACCTTATGATGGGTATCATTGAGAAAAGGGTAGAATGTATTGCCAGAATAATAAAGTAAATTATGATACTTGAATCTGACAAGCAGATTCCGCATTATTCTCATTACAGAAGTGTTTTACTTGCAATGTAGCAAGCATAAGAGTATATGTTGAAAAAATCCCAAATTGAATTATTACTCTGTGAAAAGTAAGGATTGTGTCACCTGTCAGCTGAATACTGTGACAAAAGACATTTGAATCTAACTCAACATTGCATTTTCCTTAGACTGGAAAAAGACAAAATAGCTTGTGTGGAGGCATTGTACCATCAGATTTCTTGGTTAGGTTTAGCTTCAGAACCTTGTCTGTTGTTTTCATAAACTAAATAACAAAATTGTAGAATGAAATAGTGACAAATGTAGACACTCAGGATCCAACTCAAGATGAGAATGTTAATGTGGGGTACCTTTGTTACAATGGTTGGGACTGACAACATCATTGGTAGAACAGACATGAAGTATAATGGCACTTGTCTGCATATATTTTTGGGGCTGGAGTAGTGGTACAGTCACAAACAAAAGAGACTACTATTCTGTTTTGCCAGTTGTTCGTATAAAGTTGGTGGAATGGTTGCCTGACATCGTAGATCCATAGATCACTGCAAAAGTGACTCGGAAGTGTAAGTGCTTTTGCCTCATAATATGTTAAGACTTTCGTTCAATAAAACTGACATTCCCTTGACAGGCTTGGTGTCTCATGTCAGCAGGTGTGAGTTATTAAAATTATATCTTATTTTATTTCACTTCAGTTCATACCTAATGTTTATACTGTGTCATTATGCTTGCCAGAGTATCATACTTGCATTTTAGTAAATTTACTGTTTTTCCTTTGTCAGAAAGTGATTTTCTGCCTTTTCTGTAGACATGTTGGTGAATTAAAGATGCCAGTACATAGAGCTTAATGTCCTATTATCATACATATCAATTTGTGATACTGCACATTTTTCATCATTATTACCTACCATCTCTTTATCATATATCTGCTGATTTTTCAGGGGGAAAACGAGATGAGAATTTGATCCTACCATTAAATGATTCTGTCAGCGCTACTCTCAGTATTAAACAAGTAAGTTCCTATCCTACTTTAATGCTTAAAAATTTAAATGATATAAGAGGTAAGATAACTAAAAATGTCAGGTCTATGAGGTGGCTTAAATTAACCATTCAGTGTACTCACAAATCAGGTTTGTTACTAGTGGACAGAGGATCAAGTGAGTGACTTTATAGTTACATTTGGTTACTCAATGAAATGTTGATCACTATTCATCATGCACATTTTTAAGTTAAAAAGCATTAATATCCACAGGACCAAAATTATTCTTAGCTTTTGCCCAGAGAATGGCAGTGACATCAAATCCAAAACCAGAATAATTGTAAGTTGGCTTAATTTTGATGAGTCTATCTGTGGTGACACGTAAATTGTATGATTTTTTTTTACAGATGAATGCCAAGACAAGTGTGATGGCCAGTCCAAATTTTACAGAGGACAAGATTTGGTTGAATGGGAGGTAAGTTTTTAAAGCACAAATTTCCTTGAACTGTATTGTAGTATCTTCAAGTAATTTTGTTTGTATCACTGTGCAGATCTTTAAAAAAGTTTTATTTGCAGGTTTACCTCTGAAATTAATAAAACAAGCTTAGTTCCTGAAACTACAAATGTTATTTACCAGGCACAACAGCTTATTTAAACAAAATGTTATCCTAAACAACTTGTGTCCACTTTTGTAGTATTTATTGTCTTATATCTAAGGCATTCTGACATGTAACACAACATTTACAACTTCTCTCTCCGTGAACTTTGTCTCCCTTCCCAGATTTTTGTACCCACAAGGTCTTCTTCACTTGTTGAAAGGAATACAACAAATTTCTGAAATGCCATGGGTTTAAAAAGCAGGAACAATGAACAAAGTCGGAGAGATGAGTTGTTAACACTTGGTAGCATTTGTATTCAATGTATATAAGTTTGTGTGGTCAGTGCTTCTGCGAATTGAAGGTATAATTTACAGCAGCTGTATAACTCTGTGTTGTCCTCCCATGGAATGTTGTTTGCATGTCTTGCTGTATCTGCCAGACTAATTTTCACAAAAATATTGTGGCACTAAGAACGTAAAGATTTTATGAACTGAGCATTTTTCTACATTGTACCTTCTTTTCAGAAATCCTGATTAATAAAACTGGACAACTAGAATATGCTATCTGGCCAGCCCACTTTATATTTTTTAAACCTATCTTAATTCCAAAACCAGAAAATCTTTTCCCAGCTACATATTTCCTTGCCCTTCAAAATAATGTTAATCAGAATTGTCTTGCATGTTCTTGTATGTGCTATGACATGTATTAATTTATGTTTAATTATTTAGTAATTAATACATTATTTATTTCAGAGAAGAAACATTTCACAGCCAAAGGTTGCAGAATTGTTTACAAGAGAGTGAGTATATAATGTAAATGAACGCTGATTTTTATATTGAAGTTTTGCCTTTAAATATAACATTCTGGAATAACATTTTGCAGTTCGACGAAGAGCCAAGCAAAGGGCAGATGGCAAAGATGATGGCGTCAGTGACTGGTGTGTTCATGTTTGCTCTGAAAACAATTTTCCAACAGCAGCTGGGCTTGCTTCTTCTGCTGCTGGTTATGCTTGTCTTGGTATGATTTAAGATTTTAATTTTATTCTTATGTAGGACACAGACACACACAACTTGGAAAAAATTTAATATAGTCTGAAAGTGTGCTAATGGAAATTATGAACAGAAATGTATCATTAATAGTTAATGGCCTACCTTATTGATCATTATTTTCAGTTCCATTCATGTTTGAAAAGAAATGTGTGCGCACATCTTTATATATTGTGCAGTTGCTTGTAGATACTTTTATGTTACAGTATTTGCTTTAGCGCAACTGTACAATGTGAGTGGAGACATCTCTGGAATTGCCCGACAAGGCTCAGGCAGTGCTTGTCGTAGTTTGTATGGAGGATTCGTTCGTTGGCACCGAGGATCTGCTTCTGATGGATCTGATTCCATAGCCACTCAAATTGTTCCACACAGTCACTGGCCTGAATTGAGAATTTTGGTTCTAGTGGTAAAACAATAAAGATTAATATTTACTTTTATATGTACTTGTTTCAGTGCCTTTGACTCTGCAGATACTGTTAAGGGGACCATACATGGTGCTAACCTGCGTGCGCAAACAAGTGATAGCACACATTAGGCTACAATACACACATCAGCTGCTTGTACAACATTCATTTGTTAAACAGATCTATCTGCTTCTGAATTTATTTCTTTTAATTTTTGACGTAAATACGTCTATATTTTAGGGTCAGTGTCATTCGACAAAAATGTGTTACGAAAAAGTGTAACTTCATTGTTATGTTACCTAGGAAACGTCAAACTTCATTGTTATGTTACCTGGGAAACGCCATCTGTTTAGCAACAAATAAACAACATTGGTTACCTTGGAAACCACAGTACATTAGATTACCTTACCTTACATTACATTACCTTACCTTACATTACGTTACATTACTTTACATTACATTCAGCT